GACTACGAGAATGTTGGCGCATAGTATCCGACGACTTCTCCGACAGTTATTGTGAATTTATTGAAATATCCGAACAAATCAAGAGAGAAGCCGAACCTCTCGCCCATTCTTCGCCTTCCATTCCTCTATTCGATGAATTTATAGACGATCTAAAAGAAAGATGTGGTGCGAAGTACTTAGAGATCAAAACACACCGTTTGCGCAGCCATTGGTCCACAACAGACACGATAGCCGTTTGGGTGGACAAAGAGATCGACCACTTGATAGGTGTGGCCAAAGACAAGAAGAAGATACAGAAAAAAGTGGAAAATATTCGTAAATCATCGGTTGAAATGAAACCTAAAAAAAGCATTTTAAAGAAATTAATGAGAAGAAGAAGTATTAGTAGTAAAGAAGTGTCCGATTCTCTGAGCACAGGCACCGACAGTCGAAATGATTCAATCGCATCATTGAATACCGAAAAGTTAAAACTCAGATTAATGCACGAAAAGGGTGTAAAGCCTTCGTTTAAGAACATTTGGTCCGTCGCTGACATTCAACGACTTAGAGATTTCGAAGAGAAAGAAATTCTGGAGGAGATTGTGAGAGGACTTGTCGTCTATCAGAGAAAAGCAAACGACTATCACTTAAATGAATCAAATCAAAGCGTCAGAGACTTTCTTTTATTACAGTCCTATAAAGGTATTCATTTTCATTACTATTATATAACTTATAGTAATTAAAACAAAAATCCAAACATGGTCATGAAATAAGTTCAATCATATCATAACATTTATAACATATTTCAATTGAATTGCATTTCATTAATGTATTGTAATATCAATTATACAGAACTCGATGACTGTCTCAAGAGATCCTATTTATTAGAAGCAAAGACTCTCAAAAAGACATCAAATCAATTAATACCAGCCAATTAAATAAACAAACTGTACTCGGTTGTTTTATAAACATTTCAATATCAGCAATTATAAAGTAGTATACAGTACTTGAATTAAATACAGTATATTTTGTGATATAATTATGTGTATTCTGTTAAATTTGATTCAATTAAATAATAATTAAAAATAAAACAATTTATTGGCATTTAATCAACAAATAGAAATATATATAAAATACAAATACAAATAACAATTACCCTTAATATAATAAATTTACTAAAATATTATTCAAAGTCCACATTACTGGCAAATGTGTTAATCAGTGGTAAATGCCTGGAGTCCAGTGATAGCGCGGCCAAGTATTAACGCGTGGATATCATGAGTGCCCTCATATGTATTGACCGCCTCTAAGTTCATAACATGTCTAATAATATGGTATTCATCGCTAATACCATTGCCTCCTAACATATCCCTAGCATTTCTGGCGATTTCAAGCGCTTTCCCGCAAGAATTTCGTTTAATCAATGAAATCATTTCTGGTTTATGTAAACCTTTGTCTTTGAGTCGCGACACCTGTAGACACGCCTGAAGTCCTAATGATATCTCGGTTAACATATCTGCCATCTTCTTCTGAATCAATTGATTTTTAGCGAGAGGTCTCTTGAATTGTTTTCTCTCTAACGTATAGTCGCGAGCAGTGGTCAGACAGAACTCGGCCGCACCTAACGCTCCCCACGAAATGCCTAACCGGGCGTTATTCAGACATTCAAACGGACCCCTCAGGCCATCGGCTTTGGGAAGAAGACTACTTTCAGGCACTTTAATGTCTTCCATGCAAATCATTCCCGTTTCCGACGCTCTCAATGAGAACTTTCCGTTGATTTTAGGAGTCGACAGACCTTTCATTCCTCGCTCCAGAATAAAGCCTCGAATTCTGTTCTCAAAATTAGCCCAAACTATGAACACATCAGCGATCGGAGCGTTTGTTATCCATGTCTTCGTTCCGTTCAACGTATAGGTCTTCGACGTGGAGTCAAAGACAGCCTTCGTCTCCATACTTGACGGATCACTTCCGTGATTGGGTTCAGTCAATCCAAAAGCGCCTTAATTTGTAGCAAACATTGTAATACAACAACAACTAAACTTCTAACCAATTATCAAACCTATTAACGATCCCTTCGCCAATTGTGGCAAATATTTATCTTTTTGCTCTTCACTACCAAAAGCATAGATGGGATGCATAACAAGCGATGACTGGACGCTATACGCCGACCGATAACTGCTGTCCACTCTTTCCACTTCTCTGGCGATGAGTCCGTACGCGACGGTCGAGACATTAGCGCATCCGTAGCCCTTAATAGTTGGCCCCAAAAGACCCAAACTTCCCATTTCTGACATTATATTTCGATCAAAACTTTCATTTCTGTTGGCCATCAAAATCCTTGGCATCAATTTGTCGGCACAATAGGTCCGCACCTGATCTCGGATTTGGATCTCATCTTCAGTCAAGTTATTCTCCAGCAGAAGAGCGTCCGTCCACTTGAAGTCCGATTGTCTTTGAGGCGATGTATGGATCAAATTCTTGGCCGAAGACGTGCATTGAAATTGAGATAAAAGTTGCACAAATCGGCACTCATTTGATACGTGCCTAACATTTCTGAAGACATGATTTGAGCACAACTTATAAAACATATCGCAAAACAGATTTCAATTAAATTTTAAACACAATTAAAAAAATATTGCCTAAAAAACAACAAAAATTTTATTTTTATCGTCTCTTTAAAAAAGTGCAAAATAATTATCAAAATGTATTTAATATGCAAATCAATGAATGAATTATGAAACAAGGAGTAACTAACCAAGAGTTTGGGCAAATAATACCATGTTTTAAATAATCAATTCATTATTAGATAAACTAGTGATTAGTTATTTCTTTTGGGAAACTCTCAAAGACTTTATCAGTAAAACTCATAACAAGTTTTTTTGCAGAACTGTTTGTCTAATAAAAACACGAATTGTATTGAAACGAACGGCAATAACGAGACGACCCCTCAGTTTGTGATATAGAGTCATGTTTTGCCGGAGATATTGATTATTTGATTTGAAGACACGATAACTATATTTACCACTTATTTTCAGATCACAAATCACTTCATAAATCGGGTTTAAAGGCCACTCAACTCTAGGTAATGATGATGAATGTGGGCTCTCCTATGGATGGTCAACAACCGGGCTCTTCATGGTATGGCTATTATCACCACTCCTTCCACTCCCATCTCGACAACGGTTTTCCACTAATTATGAACCGTTTGGGAGCCGAAGAAGTGGTGTTTGAAATGATGTGCTCTTATGTCGAGACTAACCATTGTGTGTGTATTGTATGGACAGGTGGGTCGAGTCGTGGTCCAGTCAAATAGCGACAGCACTGGCGCTGGTGTTAGTCCTGTGCGGACTCCTCACTGCCATCAGTCCAATCGCTATCTACTGTATTCTTCCGGGACTCATACAACTGTAAGACAATCGCTTAAGACATGTATTGACATTCGTAACCATAACTAACCCCGTGTTGTGTGTGAAAGGGTGGCGGCGGCTATAATCCTAAGCATCGAAGCGCCTTCGTTCGTGGCGTTCCTGTCCTTCGCCCGCGGCGTCGGCCGATTCATTGAAGGCAAACCCTATTGGTTCAAAGCATCCATATATGCTGTGTATGTATTGCCATCACATCTCTGTTTATATGTATATATGATTCATGGATTCTATGGGCGAGAATAGGGTAACTTTGGTGCCGTTCATTATTGGCATATCGATGGGTTGCTTCGGCCCCGCATTCATACTCGGCTTTTTAGCCTCTTTGGGGATTACGGCTCTCTTCGGTCTCTTAGTGTTGGGACGAAAGTAAGTGCTTTTTGAGTGAGAAAGTGATGAGAGTTTGTATTGACTGGACATGTATTGGACGCTGACTTTAGGGGCAGCAGAGATGAGATGCGATTCCAAGCGGGTGGCACTCCGACCGGCGCTCAGCCATACTCTCCCACTTCTCCGTAAAGTGTAATCCAATGGATGTTTTGGTGTTTTAAACTTCGAATCTCTTCTCTTCTAATCGTGAAATATATGCAGAAAACGAAATGTCTTTTCAGATAAAACATGTCAGAAGTCTAGATCATAGCTTATAAATGATTGCTTTAAATACTGTGTTAATTACAATTGTAATATCAGAGTCCGATATGTGACTGCATTCCCCTCTTTATATAAGTATTGCATTTTATATTTAAGATTATGTTTATTTTCACCAAATATTTTCAATCATTTGACATTAATTATACATTAATTATTAATTATATATTTTTCTCATTTATTATTTCCAATAAAAGTCGTTTACATTTTTGTTTTTATTCTCATTAAATTTCAATGAAATGTGTGATAAAACTCACTGCCATTTCATTTTCGTTCATTTATTTATATATCAATTATAACTTAAACATTACATTAAACTAACAATTGTGGCATTTATTCATTCTTCTGGTAATAAAAATAAAAACCAATTCAAAAATCAATTTTCTAACCATTTATTTCATTGATATAAAACATTTCTAAATTGAAACTAATTTAAACATTCAAATCATATGTTTGTTTTGTGACAAACATTTGGGAATGAAATTAATTTAGAAATATTTGTTAAGTAAATAATATTCCCAACGATTCTCCTCCTCTCGCAAAATGAATATCACTATTAGAGACAGCTTTTAAAATAATGAAATATTAAAATAACAAGAGTATAGTATCGCATGATTTATTGTCTCTACAGTTATATTAAATTACATAATAAAAAGCGTTCAATGAATTACACTCTCTTTGTATGCATCAAGAAATGGAAAATAAAATCATAAAATTCTTTAACTTTTCACTGAATATTCTGTGTATTGTTTTATAGCATTTGAGATACAAATATGTTATTGACTGTGCATTAAGTGGATGTTAGGGTAGGGTATGGTTAGGGCAGTCATCGATTGCCAAGAATTGCTTATCAATTATTAACGCATCAAAAAGTATGTAAAGTATAGGCGAAGAAGTGATTGCGAGAGAGACAGACAGTGAGTCTCTGTTTTGATGGCTTATAATCGCAAAGAGACAGTGATTTTAGTGATCACTTGAAAGTAGGGTTGGCAATATGACAAACCACGTATTTTACGTACGTAATTTACGTTGTATTTTACAGTGTATTTTACGTACACAAATTTTTCATTTTGTAAAATACGTTCTTATAAAAATAATAATCGATTAAAATCAGAAAATCATATTGTTTTATAGCATTTGAGATACAAATATGTTATTGACTGTGCATTAAGTGGATGTTAGGGTAGGGTATGGTTAGGGCAGTCATCGATTGCCAAGAATTGCTTATCAATTATTAACGCATCAAAAAAGTATGTAAAGTATAGGCGAAGAAGTGATTGCGAGAGAGACAGACAGTGAGTCTCTGTTTTGATGGCTTATAATCGCAAAGAGACAGTGATTTTAGTGATCACTTGAAAGGCATCTCATGTATTGATTGCAACAATTATACGACAAAAGGTGTCACTAATCATAGCATTCATGCATTTGTAAAGACATGTGATTTTGTATACATTTCTCACGCAATCAATTGTTTTGACATTCATTTGATTACAAAGTTTTTAAAGTAATCGTTTGAGAGATGTATACAAACTGTTTGTCACGAAACAGATTACTCACGAGTGGTGGACAATGGAAACGATTGATGTCTTCACTCAGTAATTGTCGACAACGAAAGTCACAGGAGATGGAAGTGATTGAAAGACATGTCAAACCATTGAATCAAATGATTATTAAAAGAGACATTCAATCGGTGTTCACGAGAAAAGTCTTCAAACAAAGAGATCTGAAGATATTTTCGACAATAAGTTAATTACGAAATGAATGGCAAAATGAGATGACATTGAAATTGAATGTTACTTTCAGATCGGCTTTTATTCATTCAGACCGAAGACACGCCGAATCCAAATAGTCTTAAGTTTGTTCCCGGCGTTCCAGTGATGTCTTCGGGAACCATAGACTTCCCGAACGTGAGGTCAGCTCTAAATAAGTCCCGATTGGCTGAACAACTCTTCCGCATAGAAGGTGTCAGCGGAGTATTCTTTGGATCAGATTTTATCACAATAACTAAAACCGACGATGAAGTCGAGTGGAGACTTTTGAAGCCCGAGATCTTCGCCACAATTGTCGACTACTTGGCGACCGGTCTTCCCATTGTTAACGAGTCCGAAGACACTCAACAAACAGGTATTCACTTTGGATTCAATTTTTAAAAAATTATTAAACATTTCATTTGCATCGAAGGCAACGAAGAAGAGGTTTCAGAAGATAGCGAAACCGTGCAAATGATTAAAGAATTATTAGAAACAAGAATCAGACCCACAGTACAGGAAGACGGAGGAGATGTCAAGTATATGGTATGTCTTCGGCACGCATTTAATGAACGTTTTGAATGTCATTACAATAATAATTGTGTGGACAGGGCTTCGAGAACGGAACCGTTAAACTCAAACTTCAAGGCGCCTGTACTTCGTGTCCCTCTTCTATAGTCACACTGAAGAATGGTATTCAAAATATGCTTCAGTTTTATGTGCCAGAAGTGACAAATGTTGAACAGGTATTCAATGATCTGCTATTCTTGTCATATTAACAGTTGTCTTATTTCTTGACATGAGGTGACCGACGAGTTGGACGCTTTGGGTGACACAGAGTTCCAGAAGTTTGAGAAGAAGTTGGACAATACAAAAGAAGAGTCAGAAAGTACTAAAAAATCTTAAATATTTTTATTCACACCTAATAATTGCAAAATTTAATTTCAATATAAAATAGTTAAGTAAACAAAATTTGTGAGTTTGATATAAATAGTAAATAAATGTTCACTTCAGAGACATAATTACAAATAAATATAAGAATTGCACGTTTGATAGCGAAGTGGTTCACAACTCGATGTGTCTTTGCATTATCCGAGTCTCCAATTCATTGTGAAGTTTATTCACTTTATGTTTCAGATCTTTCACTTTTCTCTTCACATGTTTATCGCTGTCATCGACAGTGGAATCGATGTTTTGATTCAAGTGTTTGTCTCCCATTGTTTCCATTTCCAGTTGTGTCTCAAAATGCCTTAATTTTTTGATTCGGTTCTGGAAGTGATCCAATTCTTCGCGCAAAGACAGCAGTTCTTCTCTATTAAAGTCAGATTTGAGGGCCAAATCCCATAACGTTTGGGCTTTTGTCTCCTCGAACTCTTGTTTGGATGTTTTGAAATCGTTGGCACTATTTATCACTTTATCACTCAATCGCTTGTAATCTTGTTTGATGTCAAAGTGTTTCTCTTTTAAGGCCTGATGCGAGTCCTTATTGTCGACACTTTTGATCTCTTCCTCATACATGACAGCATTGATAGAGTTCTCGAAGTCGTCATCTTTGGATTTCTTGCCATTCTCTGACACATTGATATCAGCGATCAATTGGTTGTATTGTTCAATCTTCAGCTCGTGGTGTCTCAACTCATCCTTAAGTACTAACAACTGTTCGTCATTCAGACCAGAATTTTGCGCTTTTTTCCAAAGTTTATCCAACTTTTTGTCCCGAAATATCTGTTTCTCAATGTATTGATCGGAATGGCTGTCATCGGACACATCGCCCGCATTATTGTCCAAATGTTTGTTACTCTTGTAAACATCAGATAAGCCGTATTTCTTGAGAATAGCGGCCAACTGTTTCCTGACCTGCGCTTCTTTGATACCATCCTTGTCCTGACCGTCGGCTTTGAACTTCTTAAGTGTCACCTCTTCCTTGTCCTGAACCTTCAGATCTGCCATCAGATTCTTGAGTTTGCTCTCATCGAGACTCTGACATGAATTAAGCATTTAATCAAATGAGTGATCAACTGATCGTTCAAATTAAAAACATTGACAATCACTACCAGAACTGCTTTCTCCCAGAAGTCATTCAATTTCTTCATACGAAAGGGTTTTGACAATTGCTTAACATTTGCTTCTTTTGAATACTTATTGAATGCAAAACTCAATTCAATTAATACCGCAATTAATGTTAAAACACTTATCAAACAATTTTTCCTCATTTTTAACGCCAGAAAAACAATATTTCTCTAATAAATAACTAAAAATAAATCAATAGATTATATAATCTGATGATAAATACAGTGTTTATAGCATTAATCCGTTGACTTTTAAACGGGAAAAACTTAAAAAACACAAAAACTGATTAGAAGTGGCGATAAATTGATTGGCATTAAAAAGCAGACAAACAATTGATGAAAAGGTATGCAAACATCAATTCATACGTAAGCATAGCATAGGATAGCGTTGGCTGTACTGCCAGTCCTATTGCTTTCCAACACTGTATGTGTTAAACATGTTTACGCCTTAAAGGGCTTCAAACACAGGGACTCTCTATTCATTGATTCAATGCATTACTTATATTAACTATATTTCGGACGAAACACACAATCAATTAAATAGTATTTCACTTAAAACAAGTAAAAGTGGCCAAAAATCATATGAAAATTAACTTAAATACATTTAATGATTGATTAAATAGTTTTGTGAAACGATATGTTTTTGATGAATGAATCCCTTTATGTGGTTATGAAATGCTATGACAGCGAAAGCACGTGATTATTGTGTGAATGCTTTTGTATGTAAGCATCGCTTTAGTCGTCACTTAATATAGCGTTGGATTGGATTGAAGTGAAGACTAACTGTTAAAACACAACACTTTTTGTTAATTAGTTTCGTCGCCAATCGTGGGCTCCGATCAACAGGTATTTCGCGCTAACCATCGCCTCAAACGTGGACTAAAACACCGTTGCATTCACTGCCAGAGTATGTCATCCGTGGGCTCACCGAAGAAGTTGCTGAACAATGGACGAGAGATACCGACCCGAAGAATGCAAGTGAACGATATGAGTCAACTCCCGTACGACTACTCGTCCACTCCCGGCGGGACCCTCTTCTCCACCACACCCGGAGGTAAGCCTATGTCCAGACGTCGTCTCAACCGTCCAGACAATCGGATTGCATAACAAATATGTTGTGATTATTAATTGAATGCTAAAGTGTTGTATTGAGTATTGAGAGACACATGACTTTGTTTACAGCTTTATCTCAATTCAAGGACACATTCGTTCAATTTTTAGCTTTTTTCTCTGTTTTGCAAAACTTTTTTTCTTTCGTAAAATTTAATATTCATATAATATAATAAATTTTCCTCATTTACGCCAGTATTCTGTAGATTCTGTGCATTTAAACCATATTTTACTCGCTTTTAATGTATATTTTTGTTGTTGTTTTAAACTTTGCTTTAAATATATGAATGTATGAAAAAGCTTATCGTATATTAACATATGATATGAACGACAGGCACCCGAATAGTGTACGACCGGTCATTCTTAATGCATTTGAGGAACAGTCCAATGGCCAGATCGCCGCCCAAGAATTTACCCTCAATTCCCGGCGTTACCGCTCCCCTCACTGGCAAAGAGAACCGCAGATCACCCGTCGCTAAAGGCCTCACCACTACCTCTACACCATTGGCAACCTGTGTCGAAGAGAAGCCAATGCCATCCAATCCAACAACAGGTGAGCTCTTTCTTCGTATATCTATTTTTGTACACACTTTGCAAATATGTGATAAAATTAATTGATATTTTTATATATGTTTTGATAGTTTTTTTATTAATTGAATGCTAAAGTGTTGTATTGAGTATTGAGAGACACATGACTTTGTTTACAGCTTTATCTCAATTCAAGGACACATTCGTTCAATTTTTAGCTTTTTTCTCTGTTTTGCAAAACTTTTTCTTTCGTAAAATTTAATATTCATATAATATAATAAATTTTCCTCATTTTCGCGAGTATTCTGTAGATTCTGTGCATTTAAACCATATTTTACTCGCTTTTAATGTATATTTTTGTTGTTGTTTTAAACTTTGCTTTAAATATATGAATGTATGAAAAAGCTTATGGTATACTAACATATGATATGAACGATAGGCACCCGAATAGTGTACGACCGGTCATTCTTAATGCATTTGAGGAACAGTCCAATGGCCAGATCGCCGCCCAAGAATTTACCCTCAATTCCCGGCGTTACCGCACCCCTCACTGGCAAAGAGAACCGCAGATCACCCGTCGCTAAAGGCCTCACCACTACCTCTACACCATTGGCAACCTGTGTCGAAGAGAAGCCAATGCCATCCAATCCAACAACAGGTGAGCTCTTTC